GGACACCTTATCTCACAATCATGTCCATTGTTCTTAACCACAAATATCATAAATTCCTTAAGTCCTTCAATATATTCATTGGACCTTTTATTTTGTGTCATCCATGCCTTATCCATAGAGAAACACTGTACCTATTATATAATACAAATAATGACTTACAACATAAATTATTTAAAGTTATAATGCACAACTATATTATCACATACGTTAACGCATTTTCTCAAAAAATAAATGACAAATGGCAAACATAACATTATATTATACTGTAGAAGACAAACTGACATGATGCATTTACTTCATCTTTTTCCATTCATCGGTCTTCTGTTTCAATTTTTACATAGACTCTCTCTACTACAGTTCAGAATAAATGCTTGAGTTGGTTTAGTTTATTTTTAAAAATATAAAAGCATTTTCTCAGAAAATAAATGAATTTTCTTTAATAGAAAATTACAGACATAGACATATACCATTCAAATGCAAATTAGAAGAATCATATGAATAAGAAACAGAGAATCCAAACAATGCAAAATAATAACAAAAAGCTTCGTATTTCAAAAATAAAAAATATATATATGGATGAAAAAGAAATCCGCATACAGTGCCGAATTCTTAAATAAGTGAAACATCATTGGAAACTAACATTCTTAAACCAAACACATGCCTAATAGTATTTTAAAAAAATAACCTCTGTATTGCAATTGTGCAGTTGATGTGCTTATCGAAATTAGTAACTGCAAAAATAAAAAATAAAAAATAAAAAAATCACTTATCATTGAAAATATGATTAGTTCAACATTATAAATTTCTTTAATACAAACATATATAAAAAATGAAAAAAAAAAAACTTAAAATTTACAAATTCTAGAATTTGATCTCCTTCAATTTTTTTTTTTTTTTTTTTTTATAATTCATTCTTCATTAACACACATAATCCAAACTTACCACTTACAGAGTATCACAAGGAGAGAACATAAAATTTACAGATTCCATCTGATTTCTTTCTTCAATTTTTTTTTTCTGATTCCTTCTTCATTAACACACATGATACAGAGGATTTCAATATATAATCTATCATCTAACATTGATACTTCAAAAATATAAATTAATAGGCCATATATATATATATATATACACACACATTTTTAGAGAGGGAAACAAAGAAATATTCTATACCACCTACAGAGTATGATAGGGAGAGAATACAAATGGTAATGTCAACTAGATAACCACTAATCACATACATGATGGTCTTATCTCAAGTTTTCATTTAAAACCTAAAGAAAAAAAAAACAAAAAGAAAATTAATAAATTTTACTAAAACTAGAACCAAGAATAGAAGTAAGAAATTAAAAGGTCAAAACTAGTTGAATAGAAAAGCAAGAACAGATAAATTTGGGTGAAGATTTGTAAGTTAGGGTTTATACTCACCTAGGCATATAACCTCTTCTTCTTCACTGTGTACGATTTTTGATGATGTATTGCAACACTATGAAGCTTTTGAGTTCAATATGGTGAAGAGATGAGAGCTTGCCTGGGATTGTGAGAAGAGTTCATCGCGAAAGATTGTCTGAGGGTAGAAAAATATGTGAGGCTCTGGATAAAAGAGAATTTTTACATATTATTATTTATTTACTTATTATGAGTGGAGGGAGCTGAGTGGAGACAGTGGAGGGAGTGGAGGGCGCGAAATGAAATTTTTTCCCGGTAAAATTAATGTTTTACTTTTAGTGACGTTTTATTTCACATCACATTTGTAAAATAAAAGCTTTGGTGACGTTTATTATATAACGTCATCTATTCTATACCTTTCCCGATGAAAAAATTAAAATTTCGTCAGTAAAAATAATGCAATCTTAATTATTCATAAAAGTATAAATAGTGACGATATACAATATAATCGTCACAAAATGTGACGTTTAACGACGTTTTTTATAGCGTCGTTAAATCTTTCGTCGTTAAATGCCAGATTTCTTGTAGTGCGTGGTTAAACCGACTACGGTACGTCTTCTTTTATCCTTAGCTATTTCTCGTGGATGGACTATTCGACAGTTGGACATACACAATGCTTTCCTAAATGGCAATCTCGCTGAGACGGTTTATATGCGCCAGCCCCCTAGCTAACCGATGCCCGGGCACGTTTGTCTCCTTCAACGTTCTTTATATGGGCTTAAGCAAGCTCCCCATGCTTGGTTCACTCGTTTGCATGATTTTCTAGTTTATGTTAGTTTCTCACCTTCCAAGAAGGATGTCTCTTTATTTATATATTCACATGGCAAGACTCGTCTATATTTTCTTGTTTATATGGATGATATTTTGGTTATGGGTTATGATTCGGCTCATGTGACTACTCTTATTGACAAGTTGGCTCTTGAGTTTAAAGTTCGTGATATGGGTGTGCCCTCGTTTTTTCTGGGTATTGAGTGTGAGCATATAGCCATTAACGTGCAATCCAACTATCAGCTTAGGCTTTTAGTTGAGATAGAGCACATGCTTCAATTTGGTATCAAAGCCAGACCAAAGGTCATAAGCGACTACGGTTTACCGGTCCACGTGTTGCTTGGAACCCATCGCACACGTGAGGGGGTGTGTGAGCATATAGCCATTAACGTGCAATCCAACTATTAGCTTAGGCTTTTAGTTGAGATGGAGCATGCTTCTGTCTCAACAACGGTACATGAAGGATATTCTAAAACGAGCAGGTATGGTTGATTGCAAGCCTGTGGCCACTCCGGTTTCAACCACGAAGGCCGAGCCACTCCGGTTTCAACCACGAGTTGAGATGGAGCATGCTTCTGTCTCAACAACGGTACATGAAGGATATTCTAAAACGAGCAGGTATGGTTGATTGCAAGCCTGTGGCCACTCCGGTTTCAACCACGAAGGCCGAGCCACTCCGGTTTCAACCACGAAGGCAGAGACTGATGCCGTGGTACCATACGCTGATCCCACTTAGTATGTTTCAACCACGAAGGCCGAGACTGATGCCGTGGTACCATACGCTGATCCCACTTAGTATCGCAGCTTTGCAGGTGCGCTACAATATCTTACAGTAACTCGCCCTGATATTTCCTATGCAGTCAATCGTTTGTGTCAGTGGCACTCAAGAAGGTGTTACGGTATGTAAATGGGACACTAGATCTTGGTCTTAAGATTTCTTCTTCTCCTTCTCTGGATATTCATGCATATTCTGATTCGGAATGGGCTGGCAATCCTGATGACGCAAATCTACTAGTGGTTTTGCTGTGTTTTTGGGGACCAATCTTATCTCATGGGTTTGTCGAAAACAGCGTACTGTGGCTCGTTCATCAACTGAGACTGAATACAAAGGACTGGCTGATGTCTCTGCAGAGGTTACTTGGCTCGTCTCTCTGATGAAGGAAATCGGGTTTGCACCACCTTCTGTGCCCAAACTCTGGTGTGACAATCTGGGAGCTACTTATCTATGTGCTAATCCGGTGTTTCATGCTCGCACCAAGCACTTTGAGATCGACTACCACTTTGTTCGTGATAGAGTCGCAAAGAAGGAATTACAGGTCAATTTTATTTCTACCAAAGATCAGATAGCGGATATTTTTACTAAGTCTCTTTCGTCTGTGCGTTTTAATTTACTCCGTTGCAAGCTCAATGTTTTGGCTGACCAACTTTGTGCTTGAGGGGGAGTATTAGGACTCTACTAGTAGTATTAGACTAGATCTCTATTTCATGTCTTTATATACTTTGTATCCGCTGCTCTTGATCAATATACAGAAAATATATTCTCATCATTGCAACCTAAATCTCATGAAGCACAACCACTCCCAACTCTACCAATTAAATCTTCTGAATTATCCTTCATTTACATATTTAAATGTTATTTCAAGTTACAAGTTTAAACCATGCAATGGTCTTGTTTGGATAACGACTAGTCCGCTAAATTTTGACCGATTTGAAAAATTTTAGTGATTTGACAATGACAAACCGTTAAAACTAGCATTTGGTAACCAGTTGATGAAATTATTATTTCAACCCTAAATCACTGATTTCAAATAAAATAATTTATAGTCTAATTAAATGTATTCCAAGTACCTTGTGGTCTAATGATATCACTGTTATCATTAGATATTGGCATAATCGTGTTAAGCAGATACTATAATTAGTGTTAGATTTTAATCAGTAGTATTAGATTCTAATCAGTATAATTGTCTAATTTTGAGTACTACTGACCCTGTTACAATGTAGTATCTATTCATAACTACTCTCTCAACTTATTGAAGTATAAATTATTGAGTATAATTAAACTGAATGTTCTTCAGTTTACCATAGGCAATGTTGAATATATTAGTCAGCTTTTGTCCTAGTTTTATGGCATTTATTTATAGTTGTGGCACATGCAAAGGCTCTCCTTGATTGTAGGACTTGTTTACGTTAATGTAATGCTTATATAAAAGCTATTCAATAATAATGCAGTAATATATTCTTCCTCTGTTATACTGCTTGCTTCTAACAGTGGTATCCGAGCCAAGTTAAATCCTGCGTAAGAGAGTAAACACGAGTGCATGTGAGTTGAGTTTAAACACGAGAGAAAGTGAGGTTAAACCCGAGAGTTAGCAGTTGCCTGTGATGACGGATCGGATAGCTTCGTTCAGCCTGCAATTCCATGCTTTGATGGTCATTATGATCATTGGAGTATGTTGATGGAAAAATTTTTGAGGTCGAAAGAGTTGTGGGAGGTGATCGAACCTGCAGTAGCAGAATCATCCACTGCAATGTCTGAAACTCAGAAGGCGGCGTTGAAATTGAAAGATCTCAAAGCTAAGAACTATCTCTTCCAAGCAATTGACCGGACTGTTTTGGAGACTATCCTTAAAAAGGATACCTCTAAGGACATTTGGGATTCTCTGAAGAAGAAATGCCATGGAAACCAAAAGACGAAGAGGCTGCAGCTTTAGAACTTTCGATCGGAGTTCGAAACACTTCAAATGAAAGAAGGCGAGAGTTTCACAGATTTCTATTCAAGGACCATGGCAATAGTCAACAAGTTGCGAATCCATGGTGACACGACTAAAGATAGTGTTGTTGTCGAGAAGATACTTCGCTCTATATGTGCAATAGAAGGGGCAAATGACATGGATAAGATGGCACTAGATGAACTTGAAAGTTCAATTCTAGTTCATGAAAGAAAGTTATGTTCGCAGGATAGTGAGGGTGAGCAAGCATTGAAAGCTTCAACTCAAAACCAACCTTCATCATTTAATGGTGCTAATCAAGGAAGAGGCCGTGGGAAAGGAAGAGGAGGCCATGCCCGTGGCAATCAACATCAGAATAATATGTCACATGGACGAAGGAGCGGGAGGGGCAAGGCAGCAGACAAATCCAACATTGAATGTTATCGCTGTCACAAGTGTGGCCATTATCAAAATGAATGACGTACGAATTTGAATAGACAGAATGGAGAAGCAACAATTTTTGTCGAAAAGAAGGAAGAAGTTTCTGAAGAGATTTCTCTTCTGATAGCATGCCCAACCCATCAAAACTTATGGTACTTAGATTCTGGGTGTAGCAATCATACATGTGGAGATGAGAAGGTGTTCTCTGAATTAAACACTTCTTATCGAGACACTGTTAAGCTCGACAATAATTCTATAGTACCTGTGATGGGAAAAGGAAAGGTTGCAATCCAAACCAAGGAGAACTCTACATTCACCATTTCAAACATTCTCTTAGTTCCAGAATTGAAGACCAATTTGCTCAGGGTGGGTCAACTATAAGAAAAGGGGTATGGGATCACTATAAAAAATGGAGAATGTCGGATTCAAGATGCAAACCTTGGCTTGATTGCCCAAGTCAAAATGACGGCACATCGCATGTTTCCACTCTATCTTCACCATACAACCCATGAATGTTTTTCTGTACAATTAAGTGAGGTTGCATGGCTGTGGCACTTCCGCTATGGGTATTTAAACTTTGGAGGTTTGAAGACTCTGCAACAAAAGAATATGGTGACAGGTATTCCTCAATTCTCTGTTCCTTCTCAAGTTTGTGAAGAATGTGTTGTTGGCAAACAACACCGCAATATTTTTCCTCAAAAGGCATCATGGAGAACAAAGAAGCCATTAGAACTAGTGCATTATGATATTTGTGGTCCAATTAATCCCACTTCTAATGGAGGTAATAGATAATTGATTACGTTCATTAATGATTTTAGTCGAAAGATATGGGTTTATTTTTTCAAAGCAAAATCAGATGCATTTGCTGCATTTAAGAATTTTAAAGTCTTTGTTGAGAAGGAGAAGGAAACTTCGATCAAAGTTTTGCGAACAGATCGTGGTGGAGAATATGTATCACATGTGTTTATGGAATACTGTGAACATAATGGAATTAAAAGACAATTAACAACAGCTTACTCACCACAACAAAATGGTGTTAGTGAGCGGAAAAATCGTACTATTCTAAATATGGTACGATGTCTCTTAAGAAGGAGTGGGATTCCAAAGGTTTTCTGGCCTGAAGCAGTACACTGGAGTGTTCATATTTTGAACAGAAATCCCACATTTGCTGTTCAAAATATGACTCCTGAAGAAGCATGGGGCAAACAAAGACCCAACCTGGATTATTTTCAAATTTTCAGTTGTATTGCTTATGCCCAAATTCCATCCCAGAGGAGAGTTAAGCTTGATGACAAAGGAGAAAAATGTGTATTTCTTGGTGTTAGTGTTGAATCAAAAGCGTACAAGCTTTACAATCCTATCACCAAAAAATTAATTATTAGCCGTGATGTTGTTTTTGATGAGAGCAGGTTCTGGTCATGGAATGATACCCAAGCTCAACAAAAGTTTCTATCAATCTTGATGGAAATAATGAGGTGGAACAACATCAACCCGAAGAAAATACTCAAAACATACCAAGTGACTCTACTTCTATAGAAAATTCTCAACAAATACCAAGTGACTCTACAAATACTCCACCGTCAATGGGGCGTCCTCAACGAGTTCGAAGAAGGCCTGCATGGATGGCCGATTATGAGGTACATGGTGTTGATGAAGGTGAAGACCCACTCACGCATTTTGCACTATTTTCATATTGTTATCCTACAACGTTTAAAGAAGCAGCTAAAGAATTAAAATGGAAAAAAGCGATGGAAGAAGAGATTGCATCCATTGAACAAAATGATACATGGGAGCTCGTTGATCTTCCGGAAGGGCAAAAAACAGTTGGTGTCAAGTGGGTCTATAAGACTAAAGTGAAGGCAAATGGGGAAATCGACAAATATAAGGCCCGCTTAGTAGCTAACGGCTATAAGCAAGAATATGGAATTGATTATAAAGAAGTCTTCGCCCCTGTTGCTAGACATGATACAATCAAAATGGTTATCGTGTTAGCAGCACAACACTCATGGCCTATCTATCAGTTGGACGTGAAATCAGCTTTTTTGCATGGTGAACTTCAAGAACAGGTATATATTGATCAACCTCCTGGGTATGTGAAACATGGTACAGAAAATAAAGTTTATAAACTTAAAAAGGTCTTATACGGACTTAAGCTAGCCCCTCGTGCTTGGTACAGCCGTATTGAGGCTTACTTTTTGAGAGAAGGTTTTCAAAAATGTCCATATGAACATACACTCTTTGTTAAAGTTGGAGAAAATGGAAAGATGTTAATCATATGCCTATATGTTGATGATCATATTTTTACGGGTAATGATCCTGCTCTATTTGAGAACTTTAAGCAGTGTATGAAACTTGAATTTGATATGACTGATCTTGGATTGATGCATTATTATCTTGGTATGGAAGTAGTGCAATCCACCAAAGGCATTTTTGTTTCTCAGAAGAAGTATGTGCAAGAAATTTTGAGTAGGTTTCATATGGAGAATTGCAACTCGGTTAGTACACCTACTGAAGTGGGTCTTAAGCTTGTTCAGAATCCAGAAGGGAAGGGGGTTGACAACACTCTTTACAAGCAGTTAGTAGGGAGTTTGATGTATTTGACAGCTACAAGGCCAGATGTTATACATGCTGTAAGTCTGATAAGTAGGTACATGGAAAATACAAAGGATGTTCATCTTTTGAAAGGAACGGAAAATTATGGTTTATTCTACAATAAAGATGAAGAACAAAATTTATTTGGTTTTACTGATAGTGATTATGCAGGAGACATAAATGACATGAAGAGTACTTCAGGATACATTTTTACGATTAGTTCCGGAGCTATCTCGTGGTCTTCAAAAAAGCAACCCATTGTTACATTGTCAACCACAGAAGCAGAGTTTGTAGCTGCGGCTGGTTGTGTTTGCCAAGCAGTTTGGTTAAGGAACATTCTTGAAGTACTGAATTTCAAGCGAGGAGCTACTCCGATTTATTGTGATAATAGTTCTGCCATCAAGTTATCCAAGAATCCAGTTTTACATGGGAAAAGCAAGCACATAGATGTGAGGTTTCACTTCCTTAGAGATCTTTCAAGAGATGGAACAATTGAACTAATTTATTGCAAGAGTGAAGATCAACTTGCTGATATAATGACGAAGCCATTGAAGTTGCCTGCGTTTCAGAAGCTAAGGAAGATGCTGGGAGTTATTGAGTATAATTAAACTAAATGTTTCTTCAGTTTACCAGAGGGAATGTTGAATATACTAGTCAGCTTTTGTCCTAGTTTTATGGCATTTATTTATAGTTGTAGCACATGCAAAGACTCTCCTTGATTGTAAGACTTGTTTACGTTAATGTAATGCTTATATAAAAGCTATCCTTCTATATATTAAAGCCATATAGCCATGGCTAATCAAATGCAAGCATTTTTTCGCCCAACAGAAGTGACGTCGTTTTGATGTTTTTGTGGTTAACCATCAGATTTTCTTTCTGGCAGTAATTTCTCGATTTTGGTTTACTTTTTGGATTCCCCAAAAATAAATTTGTATATCCAAATTATGTTATCTACATAACGTGAAGCTTTAAAAATTTGCTCATTGGAAATTGTTCCAAATCATAGCTTTACTAGAGAGCATATATACACAACATTAATTGCAAATTTTTGAAATTTGAATATAAATAAAAGACTAACTGAATACTAAGGAATTGGAACTCTATAAGCAGCCTTCATTTTTGGCGTTTCAATATCCAGTGCAACACCATCATTTAGTGTCATTAATGTTGTATACTTGATGTATACTTTTTAGAATTCCATCCGCTGCATAATCCTTCTATAAATACAACACAAATAGCAACAACTCAATCCACCTTCTTCGTTTAATCTCTGAGATTTCAGCACTAACGCAAGCCTCCTATTTGCACAACCTGAAGATGACACCATTGTACGTCTTAGGAAAATATATTAATCCAGATTTTACTAAAGGTCGAAACACTATTCTAATCAAGAGCCAAACATGTAAGTTTATTTCATATAAACTTCTTTCCAGTTTGCAATCAGTGGACAAACAAGTAAGCTGCTTGATTTTGTGATTGAGGATGCCAAGTAACATATTTATGTATAGATTTTCTATTTTTTGTGTAGGGGTAATCAATTAAGATCTACATTTTGGGATGAACATGTGACTGTCCAAGATTGAGCCATTCTTTCAATCAAACTTCACTGATCCTATTGTAGTTTTGCTACAATTTCTAGGGTTAAGCATGGTGTTAACAGTGACTAGAATAGGAATATATTTTGGTTAAAGTGTTGTGGTTTCTAATGATTCTATATAAATGCCCTACAAATGTTTAAATTCCATAAATTTGTTTCCATTAAAATGCCCTACTGACAGTTTTAATTTCAAATTAGATGGTGAGGTTAAACTTTGCAGCTCCTACAATGTCACTCAAGTATTTGTTCAATCAAGATTATGAGGAGTTTTCCACCTTTAGGGAAAGGTAGGTTAAAGTCCTAACCCTATCATGTTTCTATGTCTTATATTTGACTCTAATATTGGGTTTGATGTGAGTAGCTGATAGAGAATTCCATTCTCCAACGAGAAGTATTAATTTTTTCTCCAGTCTTAGCTATAGCAATGCAAATGATGGCTCAACAAGTCAACCGTTTGAGGTGGTTACTATCAGTGATTTATATGACAAACAAGAGGTACTACTTAAAAACTAAAATCTGACTTTAATCTTGATGCTATGGCTTTTTGCAGGGACCTATGCTGACTTAATTTAAGTCAGTGACTTGAAGACTAACTTAGAAAGTATGCCACTGTCATTGATTGACAATGTAGATGGTTTGTACTAACTGTCAGACAAGATTATATTTTTCTGTTTGCAGTAGAAAAATAAACATAGAATGCAAGTATCACACAAACTCTGAAGTCAATCCTGTCTTCCTATATAAGTAAGCTGATGGGAGTACTATGAGGACAAGATTAAAAGGCACAATGTACACCAATAGTGGCCAGAGAAGAAGTTTTTTTAAATTACTTAGATTAGTTTTTATCTAATCTAAGTGTACATTAGATCTATACTGTATTTTACATATTAGCAAGCAAATTGATGTGGAATACAAATAGAAGTCATGTAATTATTATAAATACAGGAACTCATTTTGAGTCATGCAAATATTAGTGTGTCAAGAAACATGTAAATACAAATACAAATATTTCATGAGTGATAGAATTAACACTTAAAATCACATTTGAGCAACCAATTTGTAAAAACAAACACTTACTACATGAATCTTTAAATGTTAAATCACACATACCTAATGTGAAGTGGAAACTCCACATTTAGAGTTGGAAAGCATTATTAATACGATATGTTGAAAAATAAGGAAAAACAGTGTTTCTAAATGTAATCAATGAACACTTAAAGCAAGATTTGAGCAAACAAATTGTGTCAGTAAACCTTTACTAAATGAAAGTTTAGTAGTTGAATACCTAAAATGTAGTTGAAACACTATATTTAGATTTGGAGAAAAGCAATAGGGGTATTAATACTGTAAAAAGAAAAAAAAAAAAGCAGTTAGAATGAGTGAATCAATTAACCAATGCATTCTTCCTATATTCTAAAGGAAGGAAAATAAAAGGCACATACCACAGACCTGTCACAACATGGGAATTAAAATATATGCAGGCTAATTCAGCATAGATAGTCTTGAGATCCTTTAATGACACTGCATTATAAATAAAAGAACCACTTAAAAAGAGTTAACTGTTTTGTCCCAACTAAAAAGTATATTAATCAGTAACTAAAATGGTAAGATTATGCAAACCTAATGGACAAAACTACAATTCTAAACAGTCTACCCACACCACTGTTTAATAATACTGCATTATAAATAAAAGAACCACTTAATGGCTAGGAGCTCATACCTTTTGACAAGTGTGTATATACAGAATACACTCTCTGGGCATGCTATATAATTTGGTATGTTCCTCGTCCTGCAAGAGTTCATTAAAAAAGAGCTTAAATTCACATTAATACAAACTGTTAAATCCAGATTATGCAAATGTTATATCAAAAAATTGCAGAACTCTAAAAAAAATGCACATAGGAAATAGATAAGTAAACGTATTCTCATATGTCTACTACTAAACTACTAATCTACTATCTAATGAACTGTGAATCGAATAAAGGATAAACGATTTCTACATTGTAAAAATTGGTGGGCAAAGTGGATTTACAGTGAAAACAATCTACCAGACCAGTTTACAGAGAAATCGGGCATACATATTTATATGCATACTGTAACCAGATTATAAACAGTGTTTTAACATAGCTTCTAGGGTTCTATAGAGCTGAAAATTAGGGTACAATTCGAAAAGAGAACTATGAATTTTAACAACGATAGTGTGAAAGTTAACTTCTATGAATAGTTCAACCTAGAAATTGAACAAATTTTGTAGCAAATCGTAGTTTAAAACGGCGAATCCAGCAAATATACTAACCAATACTGAATATACTAACCTCGGTATGAGATTCATAGACAAAAATGTTCTGCAAGTGCTTTTGAATTAATTATTTTTGAAGATCTATACTGTAATTGATTGTAATAGTAACCAAAATACACAACTGGAGTATAACTATTTTTGATTGCTTAGTTCTGCATGTGTTTCGGAATTAACTATTTCCGAAGATCTATTTAGAACCCTAACTATGAATAGATTGTATGAATTTTACCTTTAACAGACAAATCAATCTCGAAATTGAAGGAAAGAACTACGAAATCGCCGGATAAAATCGCAATTTCGCAGTTGGTTTGAACCTGCTCCGGTGTCTCCATACGTTGCTACAGTTGTCTCTGTTGATGTTTGAGCTGGAGTAGAGAATGTAGTGTGGTTTCTGAAATGGCAAATGGTGATGAGAACTTCTGGAAATCGTAGAGAGGAAGAGAGCATTAGGAAATGGAGATGGAAATGGATGCTCGTGCGTGGTTCAGACGGGTTGGGGGGTTTTTTAGGGTCATTATTATTATTATTATTATTATTATTATTATTATCATTATTATTAGGGAGAAGTGTCAAATAGGCCCATGTACTATTGTCAAGTGCTCAATTTTCACCATGAACTAAATTAAAGGCTAATTAACCATACTTACCTACTAAATTTGTTCAATTAACTTTTTTTGCAGGTAATTGACTTTATTTTTTTTTGCATGTTACCAATTCAATTATTAAAAAAATAATTTCAAAATAATTTAAAAATTATTAAAAAAAAAAAGAATACAGCCAGCGGTAATTCTCACAAACTACAGGTAATTATGTCTTCTCACAAACTATATTGTATTACTTTACAATGAGCATACTAATTCACATAATTATGATTCTTCAATAGATTGCTAGACATAAGGATCTTCTCGAGGGAGACCCCTACTTGAAACAGCAACTCAAGCTGCGCGATTCCTACATAACAACCTTAAATGTCTGTCAAGCTTACCCTGAAACGCATTCGTGACCCAGAATACCATGTCACCCTGAGGCCGCACATCAGCAAAGACTATGTCGATTCCAAGCACGCTGCTGAGCTCGTGAAGCTGAACCCAACGAGCGATTATGCCCCCGGGTTGGAGGACACCCTCATTTTGACCATGAAGGGTATTGCTGCTGGAATGCAGAATACAGGTTAAGTTATTTTTTTGTTTTCCAGTTGTTTTTTATTTTATATATTATTTATTTATTTTAATAATTAATAATTAAATATGTAACTTGTTATTAACCTGTAAAAAAAGCTAATTGAACATATTTAAATTGTAGATGGACTTATTTGACACTTAATTTAGTTCGTGGTGCGAATTGAGCACTTCGCAGTAGTAGATGAGCCTATTTGACACTTGTGCCTTATTATTATTATTATTATTATTATTATGGAAAATTGTGGTAGAGTGGTATTATTAAAATTATTAGTATTAATATTATTATTAATAGGGAAAATTGTGGTAGACAAGTATTATTAAAATTATTAGTATTAATATTATTATTAATAGGAAAAATTGTATTTTTCGTCCTTAAGTGGGCATTATTATTATTATTAACAAAGTCAGAAAATAGTAACACCAATGAAAATTTAGGAATGAAAAATGTAACACTAATGAAAATTTAGGAATGAAAAGTGAGCATGACCAACACTTAGAAATGAATTCTACAATTAACATATAACTTATCGACGAAAAGTGTAATTTTCCTTTATTAATATGTTATTATTGTTATATTATTAATTATTAATTATTCATATTATTGTATACTATAATTCATTTTTTTAGATTAATAACAACAAAAAAGGATTGAAAATATTGATATGTATCGATTCAATACAGTTAGTATTTCACCTACAAACGTTATTTATTGTGAAATTTTCAATTGTTTGTAATTTTTATTCTTATTTATAATAAAATTATTAATTTCATAGTCCTTTTTTTAATGCTACTGACTCTATTACACTATAATTCCATGGTCTTACTTTTAATTAAAAATTTTATTTAAGTATGTTAGCTATATAATTAAAGTTGTTATTTCAAATTTATATTAAAATTTCAGTATGATGTAATCTATTTCAATTATACATATTAATATTTTTGTATGTGCAATTTCCATAGATATTTTTTTATTGTAAGTACATTTAAATTATTTGAAAGAAATATTTTTTGCATTAAATTTTGAGAATAATTGTTTGATTTTATTTTTTTAAAGTATTTTTAGTCTCATCAACCATAACATTATTTAATTTTATGTCGTGCATCACGTAGCGACCACGAGTCGTCAATTTGAAATTTTAGAATTAAACGTGGCAAAACCACTTTATTCGGATTATTACAAATGACCTCGAATGACCACATATGACATTAACTCTTTTTAATAATTACCCTGCTTAAATATCAATATATATATATATATATATATATATATATATATATATATAATAAATTTAATAACATTAATATTTTAATAACATAACATGATTTTAATATTTCAAATATTCACGGGTGAAATACTAGTTCAATAATAATGCAGTAATATATTCTTCCAATATATCTTCCTCTGTTATACTGCTTGCTTCTAACACAAATAGTCAATACTATTTCACTGAGGCTTGAACTCATCATGATCTACCAATTGGGAGTCTAATTAAATGCATTTATTCTAATTAAATTAGTCACGATATTTAGTCCTAATGTATGTTGAGAAATTTTGATATCAAAGAAAAAACCCTACACTCCAATAATGACTCCATATAACATGGGTCCTGTAATTGAAAAAAATAAATATGTAAATTACAAGACCATGCATCCTCGTGAGTAATCATTGCAGCTTTGAACTTTAGCATGCATCGATGGGCATAGCTAAATGCTGCAAGCTAAGAATGATAAGATCACACTTCTATCGTGGCATCCCATCATTCCATCAACAATAATAGGGACCTAATTATATTTTTTTAACGAATTGTGTTAATTTTTATAGAGTTAATTATCGAAATGGTTCCTTGACATTGTAACGAAATTATCAATTTGGTTCTTGACTATTTTTTTTTGACTAATTAAATTCTTCAACTTTAAAAATTTTAACTAATTTGGTCCTCCGTTTGTTTGACCATTAGTCAATCGTTAACTTGGGATCAAATTGATAATTCACTATAGTCAAGGGACCATTTTGGTAATTAACTGCAAGGGTGAGCAATTCGGTTTAGTTTTCTTGACACTATAAGAAAAACCATTTTTAGTGACGAAAATTTTGTGACGGGTAGAAAAACCCCTCACTAAATATAGTATTTACATAGTTTTTGTGAGGGTAAAAAATTACTCTAACTAAAAGTTTATGATTTGGTGACAAAATTTTAAGTATATATTTATTTTAAAAATATACTCTCACTATTGATACAAAAACTATTGTTACTCTCACTATTGATGTATTTGAAAATTATTTCATTGAAATTTAATTCCCACCAAAATTTTTGGGCGCCCCAAGTGTGCAGCGGGCTCCCTCATTATATGTTTTTTTTTTTAAACGAATAAAAGCATCTAATCTCCTCAATCGCTATGATCAACACCGTCAAAATCAATGAAATATAAATATATAGAGCCCTAAATCATCAACTCCAGTGTATTTGAAAAGAATCTCAGGTAGATCAGAGAATTTAGAGCAGCAAAGCGGTAGCGACGAACGCCAAACCAGCAGATTCGACGAGAGCGACTCTGTTCAAAGCGGCGGCGTTGGGAGGGGAGGAAGGAGCATCGCCTCCGGGAGCCTGTGCGATGGATAGAGGATTAGCGATGGTGGAGGCGGCAGGAGTGCTGGTGGGAGGAGCCAGTGGAGAAGAGAGTGGTGACTCAGAGGGAGCGGCGGCAGATGGAGTCTGAGCCGGAGAGGACGCTGGAGAAGAACGTGGTGCCGGCACTGCCTGCGGCGGAGACGCGACCGGAGATGGAGATCTCTTCGGTGAAGTAGTTGGTGCGGCTCCTGGTGCCTGAGCAAAGGCAGATCCAGCCATCAAGGCCACCATCATAACAGCAACAATTCTCAAGTAAGCCATTTTTCCACTCAAACGATAATTCAAGTTCAACAAACTTTGCTTCTGTTTGCAGAGAAATTGAAATTGTATGTATAGGCACAGAGAAATATTTTTGAATGAAGAGATGAGTGAATCCATTATATGTTGATTTGCTGCTTGTGTGGACAATGGAAATTTTGGTTTACTTTGCCTTGTTTTAGTAATCATTTATGAAATTATGAAGACTTTTTATTCTAAATTTGTAGCTACTGTTTGTGATTTGTTTTGTTTGTTTATTTTACAGATTGTTATTTCTCTATTTTTGGGTAAACATTTCAATAGCTTTTGATGATTATGGTTTTGTGATCATGTGATTGAATGTATTGTGTGAACAAGGAAACTAGAAAGAAAAAAGAAATACTTGCTTCGACACCTGCGGCAAGGACTTCAACAGCAGGTCAGTCATTTTTTTTTTCTTTTTTTCCCGTTCATAATGATGGGTTTCCTATTCATTGCTTGCATTATCTCGTGAATTTTAAGCTAGAAGTGATAGCTTAGCTTGCTTTATGGGTTAGGCATGCATTTGCGGTGGCTGTGAGATAATAAACAGTACAGTAATGGCGGATGGATGGGAAAGAGAAAGCCAAAAAGGGGTTTGGATTGTTGTTAGTTGGGCACAAGCTTTGGGTAACTCTTCACTAGCTGATCATACTGATTGTCAACCATAAATTTTTGATAGTAGTGATTTGAGATTATGCATAAAGAGTTTTTGTCATGCTACTTTGATCTTTCTTATGGACAATGGATAAATAATGTAGGCAGTTTACATAGAGGCAATTGCAATGGTGGAAGAGTATTAGCATTCAGCAAGCTCTTTCTGTAGATGGTGGCGTTCGAGATGTTAAGGCTCATTACCCTCAGCTCAGTTTGAAAAACCTTCCTCAGGTTCTTTACTTTTGCACTGTGTATACTAAAACAATAATAGTCAATATAAAAATTGCTATAATGTTACAGTCTTGTAAAATCTCATCCCTTTTGTGAACCATTTACCTTTTCAATTTAGAAAGATAATTAGAAGATGTATTTTGCTGAAAGTATCACTCTTAAAACTATACTTTGTAGCATTTTTCATATTTAGAGTGATAGAAATATGCATAAGTTTAATTTGTGGGATAAACTGTGAATGAACACTCATTCTTGTGTTTTTTTGTGGTGTCGTATAGGATTAGATTTTCCAGTACATATGGAGATTTGTGTACTCTATGTTTTCCCTTTTTAAATTTTCCAGTAATTTGTACCATGGAAAACTTGTGGGAGAGAGTTTCTTGGGAAAGAAAAGGCCAGTTTATGAGTGTAGCGGTGTGCAGGTATTCTCTCCTAACCTTTCTACCCGAGTCATGAACGCCACCCCTGTGTTTTTCCCCTTTGTTCATAAGGCTGTTAACTGTTGACCATTTTTCTGAGTTTGTCTTATGACATCAATGGGGTTTGCATCCCACCACTCACTTGGTCATCATTGTTATCAAAACGTTATTGGTTATTTTAGAATTTTTTTTGAAAGCAAAATATTGCAGAAACTGGAGGCCAAGAGCTGTTAAAGAATTGTTTGCTTAATCTTTTCTTGCGTTTTAGGTGAACGGCATGAGCCTTTGATGTATAATGTTGTTAGGAACCAGATTGAGACGGAGTTCCCGATGGTGGGACTGGATTGATGAGGTATATATGCTTTTTATTTTGTGGTTTCATTATAAACTATGGATTAGATTAAATTATTGCGTATTCTTTGTTCTATACTCATGAATTGGTACACATTTGAAATTTAATTAGATTGTGATAAAGATTTTGATTCTTGTTGTTCAATATTGCTCACCAAGACATGCATACACTATATTGCTGTAGTTTCAAGAATTTTGAGCATAAAGCTGTATACTATTCTATTCTTAATTCTATACAACAAAATAATTTTAAGTGTATATTGAGGAGGCATGATGGTATGACTCAGGTCTTTATGTTTAATATAGGTATCATTGCTCTTGAAGGACAGTTTCATCGAATCAACATTTTATGAAGGTATGTTTCTAATGCTCAATGTTATATATTAAACTATTGAAATAATAAAAAAGAATAGGGCGATGTACACACATAATAGTTCTATTGCAATCTGTATTATCATTATGTGATTATTATTAATCTTAACGTAAAATTTTTGTTTAATCATATGCCATAGTAGATGTCACCCTTTTGTTTTCTCCTTGCTCTGTTACAAATATTGATAGATCATTTGATGAATTCTAAGCTTGGAAATTGTATGTCTTTAAGATTATACTAAAACATTTTGGGGTTTTATTGGCAGTCAAGAGACAGAGGCCTGTGATTCCAAAGCAGGAAGTGAGATGATAAGCAGGAGTTACCACTGATCTTGCATGACTTGAGCAAAATTAGTTCAAATACAAAAGACTTCTGGCAAAATAGCTAGCCAACAGATACTATGGCTATTTGTTATAATTAATTTCTTTGTCTTTAGTCTTTACAAAGTTGTATGAAACATTTTATTTTGGTATTAATGATGAAGTCTTTTAATATATTGATCGTGTTTACTTTAATTGCATTATATATCAATATAATATTTATAATTATAACATAACATAATATCGATTAGTGAGAAAAAGAAATGTATTACAAAAATGAATATTTAATGAGAAGTAACAATATATATACAAATTAAAAAATAATACTATTTGTTAGTAAATAGTAGTATTAATGACGGTATTTTCTATCGTTATAAGAATATAATGAGAGGAAATTATGCTAGTGAGTAGTTGTATTAGTGACGGGATTTTTTGTCGTAAAAAGAACGTTTTAGTGACGGTAAACACACTATCACTAAATTGCTTATTAATGATGGTATCATATCCCGTCGCTATTTGTTTTTATCTACGGAAGAAATAACGACGGGTGGTGACGGTAAATTTCCCGTTATTAAAAGTCTTTTATGATGGTTTTTGGATTTTTTAGTGACGGTTTTACCTCTCATTAATGGACAATTTTCTTGTAGTGTGAACCGAACCAGACCGAATACCGTTTGAACTTTGGATTGCTATTTTGTTATATATTAGACTTTGGATATGGACCATGTAAATACCGTAACACATAATATAGAACTTTTGATAACAAAGCATAAAGAAACCAAATAAAACATTTACGAGAGATACCTGTGAGAATATGAGCTGAACGGCAAAGAAAGCAGCAAGGGACTTGGATTTACTTTTTATTTATTATTATTATTATTATTATTATTATTATTATTATTATTATTATTATTATTATTATTATTATTATATTTTTAAAAAAATCAAACGGTACTCGGTTCAGTTCAATTTTTTACTAAACAATTCGGATCGAATCGAATCAGTTTTTTATCGAACCATTCGGTATACAAGAATCTAAAACCGTTTGGTTGTTCGGTATATTACCAAACCAAACTAGTTCGGTTCGGTTTGGTACGATTAGGTTCGAGAAAACTAAACCAAATTGCCCACTCCTAAGGTTAATTACCAAAATGGTCCCTTGACTAGCGAAATTACCAATTTGGTCCCAAGTTAACGGTTGACTAACGGTCAAACAAACAGAGTACCAAATTGGTTAAGATTTTTTAAAGTTGAAGGACTTAATTGGTTAAAAAAATAGTCAAGGACCAAATTGATAATTTCGCTATAGTCAAGGGACCATTTCGGTAATTAACTGTTTCGATAATTTAGTATGTAATATATCTAAATATATCAAATTTATTATTTTCATCATATATCTTCCTAAAATATAGAATAGTGATAGGTTTTATCGGGATCGAGTCCACCATAAATCAGGTATGAAAGTACAGAACGTGGTAGGAAAAAAATAGTATTATTACAGGGCAATAAGCCCCAAGATTTTGTACAAAGCCCGAGATATTGATCCAAAATGCAACCCAAATAATAAATAAACAACATAAGCTATAGCCCAAGGAATGGACTAAGCAATCCTTATTGTGTGGACCATGGTCCACAAAAGTTGTGTGGACCATATTTTGTATATTGTAAAATAATGTACATTCAGTACAAAAGTAATATACATTCAGTACAAAAATAATGTACATTGTATTCAGGGGATATACATTATTTTTGTACTGAGTGTACATTATATTGTATTATTGTATAATGTACACTGAGTACAAAAATAATGTACATTTAGTATATTAAAAATATATATTTTTATTATGGTCCACATAACATTGTAATTTTTCCTGGACTAACAATAATATCATAGTTACTAGGAGTCAAACTCAAGTGAATATGCTAAAAGTGCAAACAAGATACCACTGGACCAGGAGGCTTGTAGTGTTTAAACCATGATGTCTAAAGGGGAGACAAAGCACCCTATTATAGTGTTGAAGGCATCACAAATGGTTGACAAATGTATGGATCTAACTTGCCTTCAATATTGGCTATAAACATGTCCCCCACTACTTGGATGCCAGTGATCTTTGACACGATTAAATAGAGCGTCATGCCATTTGGTATATAAAATTGAGTAGTTTGGGCAGTTGGTGCTTGTGTTGTTAACCAATAGGTCATAAGTTTGAGTCTTGTTGGTTGCACCTTCTTAACTTAGCATTTTATTCCCTCATTTGGTCACCATGTTTCCTTCATCCTTAGCAATAAAAGCAATAGTTATTGCGTGGACCACGGTCCAAAAAGGACGTTGTTTTTCTTAATTTTATTTTTCCGCGCGTCCAGCTACAACATATATTTTTATAACTCATAATGTACATTATTCTAAAACGTAATGTACATTATTCTAAAGCATAATTACATTATTTTAAAACATAATCTACCTTGTATTACCCCAGATGTTTCATTATTCTAACATGTAATGTACATTATTTTAATACATAATGTACATTATTCTAACACATAATGTACATTATTCTAAAACATTATGTACATTATTCTAACACATAATGTACATTATTTTTACTCATATATTCACAACGATGTTTTACACATGTGTGGTGTGGACCACGGTCCACACAATAATATGCCCAATAAAAGTGAATCCTCCGTTTGGGCCAAGACTTTCCCAACAAGGATTCATCAAATATCCTTGAAAGAAAAAAACAATTTTTTTCAATATCAATTTTAGTATTAATATATAAAATTTATTTATTTAGAAAATACATTTGAACATTTAAATACTATAAACACAAAAAAAGTTAAATTTTAAATAATAAAAAAACAAAATTAAGAAGAAAGAGATGTTTTGTCTAAGACTACTATTCTTTGGCAAAACATTTCTAGATCTTAAACAAAACCCATTTCTATAATAGTCTTAGACAAAACCCATTTCTATAGTAGTACTGTACTCCTGGACTTGTCCGAAAATGAATTATCTGGTGAAGTCCCATTGGCATATTTGCCTACTCAAACACCTTGATTTTCATGACAACATGATGTAACTGGAGAATTCTTAGAGTTCATCACTCAAATTTCTACCCTATAGCGTTTGAGACGTTTAAGAAATAATCATCTCATAGGCTCGCCGCCCCACAAGATTTCCAATGTAACCTCAGTCGTCTCCATTCACCAAATCCTTGACCTGTCAGGCAACAGCTTAACAAGAAGCATCCCGCAGAACTACGAAATCTTGCCGCATGAGTAAAGTCGGCGGGCTGACAAAAAGATTTTGATTTTTCGCCATCAATTTCAAATTTATTATTGCCCAACTTTTAGTTCTGCCATATTATACGCTACTTGGAGTGGATGGTGAACTGGAACAAAGCAAGCCCTCTTGCCAAAGAGCATCAACTTCTATTCATTCTTGGACTTGTTTTGACAACCAACTCGGGTAGAAATTATTCCAACTTCTTTAGGCAAACTCAGGCATGAAAATGTTAATTAAATGTTGAACTCACAACACTTGTCAAGAGAAATATCCTCAAGTTTTGGGAATATTGAGTGCATGGAGAGCCTAGACATGTCGCACAACAACTTATCCAGTTTCTTATGCCAATAACAGTTGATAGTATTAATTGCCACGTAATGCGGTCATTAAATAAACACAAGACCAAATAAAACAATTAAATGTCGTTTATTGGTCGAGGTGAAGGCCCTAAGTACAATCTAAATGGTTGCTCTGAGTACCGACTGACTGCGGTCGGGATTTTCTAACAACAACCTATCGATCGTCCAAAAGTCCCTCTCACTCTCGCTATCGTGGGTATTTATAGCCGCGGAGCCGGAGACACAAATCCGGCCGTCCGGCATGCCTCCCACGTAGCAACCACGTGTCGCCCTCCCGGGTGCCCTGCCTGTCAACACATAGCGCTGCCACGTGTATCTTCTCAGCTCCCTCGCTAAGGGCTACCGCTCGGTGGTCGACCACGCCGGTCGGGAACCGACTGGATTCTTCATGAGAAACCCGACCTGCAACCTGCAAAGACAAGAAGAAAATGACAAAG